GCATAGCTACCACATAATATCATAACCTGTTATGTGCTGATAACATGCACACAATCTGGAAAGCTTTGGTGGGGCTATACATTTTCCACGTTTTCACCAAACAATTTTACCCTAAAGAAAGAAACATTCATAGCACTGGAGACGAAGCCCAATTTACCAAAATAACACCCATGTCACACGGCCTCAACTCATGCAAGTTCATTTACTGACACTTCCCACATCAGGGCCTGCCCTGATTTTTCGGTCGAAACCCGAAAGCTTTTGACAACGTTTCCAGCAGTGACAGTGGCTGCAGGAGGGCTGGGGACAGTCCTGTGTGTAACTCATGTTCTGAGCATCCCAGGAGTGAGTAATTCATTCTGCCAAAACAGCTGTGCTACTCACGAGGAAAGAAAAAAAAAAGGTTAAATGCCTGTATTGCCAAAGGTTGACCTGCCCATCCATCTTCCCTGTCCTGTCATAACGTTCAGCTGGGAATGTCCCATTATTTCTTACTCAATTTAAATGCTTCTGCCTGCATTAACTCTCCAAAGGTAGTAACAGTTCTTGACAGTTCTTCCTTTCTGCTTAAAGTTACTGAAGTTTTCTTTTGTGTACCAAGAGAAGTTTGTTTATTATTCATTCCACAGTTGATGGTTCACCAGTTCATCCCTCCAGAGCTGCTGACTGCAGTACCTTGGCATTCCCAGAGCACTGCTCAGTGAGGCCAGCTAAACTAGAGTTTAAAAAGAATTGACCTTACATCTAAATAGACAATGTGAAGGAGTCCCACAGGGTAGAAAATTATTGCTCCATCCAAATATAAACATGCCAAAAGCCTGAACTCATTAATTCTTACTAAATATTCTCTCTGTTGAGCAAGGCCTTCAAGTTTTTAAGAGAACACATGAGTTTAAAAACCACAGTGGCAATCAAATGCCCTTGATTGGAACCATAATAGACCTTTCTTCCTATATTTGTTTTGCTTCCCTGGGGCTTGTCTTAAAGTACAAAATGACAGTCAAACATGTGATGAGAACATAATCAGGAGGGTCCTCCTTTGTTCCATTTTCTGAAGGTTGGGCTCTAGACATACAGGTAATCCTCTTGATTTTCTTCCTTCTTCACCCCATTTTTCATTCTTTGTTCTCCTTCTTGGATTAAAACCCCTTTACTTTTTGAAACTATACCACTGTGCAATGGATTATTATCCATTTACAGAGGTACAGCTGGAGTTGTGAAGGAGGTGGGAATAAACCTCAGCAATGAAGTCATGTCAATTAGGAAAATAGAACTTTCCCTTTCTGTGACACATCTAGAAAACATTAAATGCCCTGAACACACAGTGGAGACACACAGAAAGAGTCAAAATAACACAAGAAAAATCCGGTGTGAAGTTTTTGAGCATTGCAGCTCTCACAAAGTTACAATTTATCAGTCCTTAAATGGATAATATTTAAATATGAGTATTCAAATTCAGAGTCTTAAAACTTGAGACATTTCTTCATATTTCATCAAGTGGAAATAGGCTTCACTTCCACTTTACAAATAAAATTTCCAGTTTACTGTGTTCAGCTGCTAGATTTACAAATAAAACTTCCAGTTTTATTTGTAAATCTATCACAGTAAACAAAAAGAGGTTAGTAGTAATGCACTCTTGGTTATTAAGAGGTTATTAACAAAATGCCAATGAGTTTTGCCCAAGAAACCATCTGCTCCAGTCACCACAAAACTGCGTGTGCTGTGTTTTACTTCTTAATGCCTAAGGGGAGCTTTTAGCCAAGATTTCCAAACCTGTTCCCAGGCCAAAGGCACAACCAGCAGACCGATGGCTGAGCCTCTGGAGCCACAGCCTGCGCCTGGTCAGTGGGGAACTCTGTGAGGGGCAAGTGGAGGTTCTGAGGGATTCTGGGAGCAGTGAAACTGCCCAGAAAGTGTGACAAATTAACCCTGAATATTGAGGTGCACCCAGCCCTGCCCACACCCCCGGTGAGCGAGTTGCCTCCCCGAGTGTCCGTGCGTCATCGACGCCGCGGCGGAGTTGCTGATTTTGCAGACGTTTCTTCCTCAGCTTGATAAGTTGATATATATTGTTTAACATGATAATGTAGCAAGCTGTTGTTTTGTGGTTTGAAAGCCAGCTGCGTTTGATTGATGCCAGGAATGGAAGGATTTGTAAAATGACATTGAATTAGATGCAGTCGGTTTATGGGTCCGGGGAAATGAATATTTTATGAAGAATAAAACTTGGTGATGAAGGAGGAATGCTGAGGAAGTGTGCATCTTGAATGAAACTCTTTTGGACTGGTGCATGCTGTAGAGCCTTTCAAAATACACATTTGTGTCACTAGATTTCTAGGAAGGAGATCTTTATAAAAGCACTGCCTTTTGTGGTGGTCCAACCCCAATTGTATGGTCATGTGTGTTCTCTCTGTGGACACCTCAACTAGCAGAGGAAAATTCTTCCCTGGAAATGCAGCAACTGGACTTCTCTGAAAGGTCCCTGGTGTGTATTTTAGCTGCTGCTTTAAATCTGTCATGATTTTTGAGGCATCAGTCACAAAAATGGAAGCACATGGGTGATGTTTAAAGAGCTGGGGGTTGTGTATGTTCCCAAACACACAACCTCAGACAGACTGTGTTCATCCATTATGGCATTTAAAGACAACCCCACGTTTTATGTGCATTCTTCCCTCCACTGTGTGAACTTGTGAGAACAGAATAACTTCTGCTTGGATGTAAATGACACTTGGCTGGTAGCCAGAAACCAATAGAACAAAACTTTTGACAGAAGCAGCATTAAAAAAAAAAAAAAAAAAGGATCTGATTCTCTCCAGCTTTGCTCCTGCATCTCTATGCAAAATGAATGTAAAATTCTGCTCATCTGAGTTGCTGCTGGGGTTTTTTTTATCTGTTTGCACCAAAGGAATGATTGTGTGGAAGAAGATAATGTCTAGTGAGTTGAAAGGTTAAAGAACTGCAGCTGGCAAATCAGAATCAGATCCAGCCATTGTGCTGAGCCAGTTCTATGCCAGAGTAACCAGAGATTTGGGGATTTACATCAGAACCTAAAATTTACACTTGCCTTCCACAGTCTCATCATCAGAAATATTTCAGCAGAACTATCTGGGACAAGTGTATAAAGAGGATTTCTACCTGAGCATGTATTGTAATAACTTTCTAAATCTCTCCTGAGCATCAGCTCATCTAATAGATGAATAATAATAGCAACTGGTACATTCATTTAACATGTTGTCTGATGTACTTGTGTGTGGCATCTTATTAAACTGCATTTTTCAGGAAAGCATTGTGTACTGAAACCCATTAAAATTTCACTTGACCTTGGGCACCTTCTAAGATCTCTTGAAGATTTGCCTTTATCCGTATTTATTTCACTGAAGTCTTGTGTTTAGGAGATCTTCATGAAACACATTACCTAATATCAACACAAACAATCTTCTAAAAAATGTGATAAATGTCTAAAAAAATAGCACAATGCGTTGTACTTGTGAAAAGAGGGTGAATCTTCACTCCTCAAAATAGAAAGCTGCTCTTTTTCTTCTATTTTCTTCTGAAACAGTCTCAAACAAAGCAGGTGAAAATATCAGGGCTGGGATCATCTTGTAATACTGGAAAACATGGCATGGTATCCAGTGGTAAGCTTCTTTTTGAGCTGTCTGACCTTTAATCACTGGTGAATAAAACCAACATGCTGTCAGATCTCTGTTATTTTTCTCAAGGGGGTAACTCTGCCTGAAGTAGCAACGAAGCAAAACCTTTGAGAGCTTACAGTCAAGGTCACCACAAGAAGAGGCAACACTTCGTACCCTGGAAAGCATAACAAAAAGGAAAAAAAAAAAGCAGAAATGTATCTAAACAAGCCAGTTGTGTTTGTTTAACAGTGAACCAGGCAGTTGTTATATCAGCCTGTAAATGAAGCTGGGCTTGTTTTTATTTTTACCACAATATTTTGTGTTTTATTTGATTTTTAACTTCAAGACCTTCAGAGAGAATACAAATTCACTGTTTTTCATCGTACATGATTGATACACACTCTTGTTATTGAGGCACTTCCAATCTGCTGTCTTGGGCCTTGTCTGTATCAGAAGGCTTTAATCACTCCTGGTTATTTCCTTGGTTCTTGGTGTACTCTGTGCATTATTATCTTTGGAATGTTTAGGACAGAATTTTGTTAGCCTCTGGTGGGAGGGAGAGGAAAGGACTGGATCCTGGGGTGCAGGAGGATGTGTTCCACCAGCTAAGCACAGAACTGCCAGCAGCTCAGTCCTGTCTCTATTAACTGTGATATAGAAGCAGAGTGAGGTTTTTCCTCTGTCCAGCACTCAAGAATCTGTGCAGGTGACAATGTTCCCTTGTGGCTCTCTCCAGCAGAACTGTGTGCTGTAGGAATTCCATGTGAAAAAAAAAAACAACCCTTCATCCCTAGAAGGACAGTGGGGCAATAGGGATGGGGGTCTCATTGAGGCTGACACAATGAACTCGTACATCAGTGAAAACTGAACTTAGAATAATGTAGGCTTTAATAATTACAAAATCTCTTATTGCCAGAAATTATGCCCAGACAGAAATTCTAAATCAGGAGAGATTTAGAAACTTATCACAATGTATGCAAATTCTGGAACTGCAAGACTTTACAGTACAAACAGAGACCTTTGTGCTATTTGAGACTTTTCTTCATCATACACATCTGTAGACTTTCTGCCTGTGGAATTTAGAGTGAAAAGATGCACCTGTAGTTGGTTTAGCCAATTGCAGTTAACAAGGATGGTTTCAAAGCAGATATGGGGAGTTTCTGTTGGAGTCACATGTCCTGCTGCAAACCAGAAGTGCTGGCTCTGTTGGCTGAGCAGCAGGTAAAAATAATATGAACACAGGTACAACCTAAATATCAGGTGGAAATACTTTGTGGTCTTGATGAGATAATTTAGGTATTGAAACCACCTGGCTCTCCCAGGTGGAAGCAGCATAATTTCACCTGGTTTTGTCCCCCTCTCCCTCAGGAACCACAGTGATGCGAATGACAGCGTTTGATGCTGATGACGCCAGCACAGACAACGCCCTGCTGAGGTACAACATCCTCAAACAGACCCCCACCAAACCCTCCCCAAACATGTTCTACATCGACCCGGAGAAGGGGGATATTGTCACGGTGGTGTCGCCTGTGCTGCTGGACCGGGAGGTGAGTGAACGCTTTGCTATCACCAGGATCTTCTGGGATGTGAAAAGAGGTTCTGGAGCATTGTTGGGGTGGGGATTCAGGTGCTTAACTTTGAGGAGTCTTTAAAAAGTGTTGTTTATTTCTTATTTGGGTGCAGGGAGTTGTTTGATGTTTGTAAACATTGAATTGACCATTGTTGATGATTCCTTGACGTGCTGAATGGGGAGAGGGAAAATCTCAGGAATAAGCAGAGTTCAGCCTAAAGTTGCCAGGTGATTCTTTGGAAGTAAAAAACCTTCATAGCTAACTGTGCATACAGCTTGCTTTGAGATTGCTACAGTTTGGTGCTTTAAATCCTTTTCTAGAATTTTGTTTTTCTGCGTGAACTTAAAAAACTAATTATCTTGGTGCCTCATAGTCAAAGAAAGAGAAGACTAGAAGGAGCAATAAAGGGCCAGGTTGTCTGCATATGCTTTTAAGATGAACAGTGCCAAAATCTATCTTTATTACAGATCTTTAACATTAGGAGAGCATAAACTGAGAGCAAAGAAAGCTTAGGTGTGACCATTTAAAGCTCAGAATATAATAAAATACACCTAGTCCGCTAATACAAAGGTTTAGTTGTCAGAATGTGTGAAATCTGGACACCAATACAGTGATGACCCTAAACAGCTACTCTGTAAATCACCATTTTCTTCAGTTAAGTAACCCTGGGTGTTCTTAGATTCCTGGAGACAACCAAATTCTTTTCTTATAGGCTGCATGTGCTGTCACTGAGCTTGTCCTCTAGGTTGGTTAGATGCACAACTGTCCAATATTCTCAATATTCAACATGTTGTTTCATATTTTAACCAGAGAAAATGTTGCCTGGACCACTTCCCTTTCCCAGTAGGTAGTTTTTCTGCGGGCTTTTCAAGCAGCAAATATTTACTGATAAATCAGGCACAGATTCCAGACACACAGTGCAGTAAAACCAAGGTCTGGGCATATAGGTCTGTGTTTTTAGCTTTAAAGAGATTCCAGTTTTTTTCATATTTGGGTCCCAAGTTAAGGTTTATACAGTCACTTCCTTTTTGCCTCACGTTTCCCTTCAAAATTTATTGTTTCAGCTCAAAAGCTTTATACTATTTTCTAAAGTCAGTTTTGGGTATTTTTATTCCTAATAGATACCCATTGCCCAGATTAAACCATTTTACTCAAAATTAGAAAATCAATGGAAGGGAATGAACACGCCTGCTTCTCCCAGTATCTTCCAAAGGTCACTGTGATTCATGGAATAATGATTCTGTCTCCATGCAAGAAACCTGCCCTCAATCGAAGGGGTGCTGTGGCTGGGCAGTATATCCTGAAAGCAGCATCTGAATTCCTCATGATTTTTACTAATAGTCAGTTCAATACCTTTACTTTGGAGGTGACATGACGAGCTGCAGGCTTGCTGAAACTGCAAAGTAATTTTTGTTGTTGCTGCACACACGGTGTGTGTTTTATGAGCCAAAGTGCAGGGCTGTGGACAACTTTAACACTGAACCCCAGTCGTTATCTGCAGGTGAAATTCAGTCTCGTGCTGTCTTGTCAGGGGAAAGGTTTGGGGAAAATGATGTTTTTAATATTTTTCAGAAGATGTTCTGTGCTCTCTGTCATATTTGTGGGTTCAGCCTCTTTTCCCCCTTCCTGCTCATGCATGTCTTGTGTGGAAGTTGGTAATCATGCCTCAGATCTGTGGAGGTGGACAAGCATGGTCAAAGATTCTATTTTTAACCACAATATCAGCTTTTAGGGACAAGTGTAATGATCCTAATCTAAAAAAAAAAAAAATCTGGGTACCAGCATAACCTCGATGCTCTATAAGTAACTCCTCTGTATTTCTGTGTAGCTCACGAAAATGAATTGTTGTAAGAAATTGTCTGACATAGAGAGAGACAGGAGTAACACCTGGAAGAGCAAATGCTTTCCTGATTAGGGAATCAGGTGTCTGCATATCACCAGGCTTGGATAAATGACTTTTTGGGAGGTGTTGGGCCAGAGGGAGTACCATGTGCCACTCCTTTGCAGGATGGCTGCGGATATTGGGGCCTTATTGTTGTGAATGTTTGAAAATCTTGAGTAGTTTAGCTTTTTTTCCACAGTCTTCCATGAAATGTGTTGTAGAAACATGGGAGAAAGAAATGTTTCTTTCTTCTGAAAGCTTTGCAAGTAGGTGGATAAAAAATGTAGATAGGGGAGAAGAATCTCTTGAAAGAGTATTTGTGAACAGGAGACAGGAATGGTTTGACCTCTGCAGTTCTTACTCTGCTTTTCTTGGCATCTCAGTGGACAATGTGTTATAGTAGAACAGACAGGGAACTGCAAGTTTTTCCTCGTGTTTTCCACTGCTTGGAAAAGAGAAAGGATCAGCTGAGTTATTTCACATCCAGTTTCATGACTGGGATCTGGGGCAGCAGCATTTTCAGGTAATGAAGTGAAGCTGATGAAGGAGAAAATATTTATATGAGGGGGATAGGGAGATTCTGCTGGGGAATTTCAGTCCAGAAGCTGCAACCATTGCTCCTGGTGAATCCCATTATTCCTGGCTACCAGTTCAAAGCAGCAGCTTCTCCCAGGTTTTACTTAAACTTGTAATTGGGTCAATCACCTGTGATTGTAGGTGTGCTCTTTAAAACTCTATTAGACACCAATTAAGGAGCTGAATTAAAGTAACAATTTCTCTAGAGTGGACATGGAAAAAAACCCAAAAACTATTTCTTTTTATTAATTTGTATGTGCACCAGAGGATCACATGAAGTCTTTTAAAGCATGCTAAAACATTGATTAGAATTATCCCCTTTTTCCATCTCTCTGTAAGTTTTACCACTGCTTGCATCTTGATACTTTTGGGAAACTCCTCATTATATTTAAGAGAAATTAACAGAATATAAATTGCTTGGGGGTTGTTTAGGTTGTTTGTTTGTTTGTGTGTTTTGTTTTTTTTTTTGGTTTTTTTTTTAGTTTTATGTATCATTTATTTCATGTTTGTGCATTGGAGGGAACAGGAGGTTTTGCCCAGTGAGAGATACTGAGATGTGGAGATGGGAAACATCTGGCAGGTTTTTGCACATGCTGGATTGTTCATATTGTTTTTCCATGCTTCAACATATTCAGAAAAGTTGCTGTGGCATAGCCTAGAAATCCTTGTTCCAGAGCAAAGGATGAAAATACAGGTAATTTACTCTGAAGTAAAATCAAATTTGGCCACCTACAGAGCTCAGGTTTTATATCCAACTGAATATGTGTGGGAGAATCTTACCATGCATAGGTAAGCATCTATGTTAATAATTTTAAGAGATGAAAATGAAACAAAACAGGTTTTTTCTGATAATACTTTAGAAATAAAAGTAAATTCCAAGTAGACACTTCTAGAATAAAACAAAAAAAAGGGAAAAGGAAAGAATTAACTTTTTCTGTTCAACTTCAGCTGTGCATTGGCTTTGCTTTTAGCAGCACAGGATCAGTTCAAAGTAAAGACAATATCTGAAATTCCTACAAGCCTTTTAAATTTTGTTCTCTGAGAGTGTCAGTTATTGGGTCTGTTGGTGAAAGGCAGGGGGGTTGGAGCTGGGAATACTCCCTGGCAGGAACTGGCTGGGTGTTTGATGGCACCTGGATTGGGTGACAGCGGGTGCTTTGCAGCTATTTCTGCAATGTGGGAACTCCCACAGCAACATCGAGCCAAAAAAAAAAGTCATTCCCTCCAACACGCAGGAAAAGGGCGTTTGGGAATCCCAGGGATTACAGCCAGCAGGCTGCTGAGGGAATGTTTCCTGCCTCCAAGGAAACACCCAGAGCTCCGCAGGATTTGTATTTGTATAGCAGAGTATTTTTATTTATAAAATTTTTTTTAGATTCCAAAATTGTTTCCAAAAGTACATGATCCTGGGGGCTTAAAGCAAAACTCGGATAATTTCTCAAAGAACATCCATTTTCGTTTTCAGAAGGCAGGTAAGGACATACTTTTGAAGATTGATGTGCTGGGTTTTTTTTCTTGTGGGAGTTAGGCATCCTTGAATGTGTCAGTAATAAAGATTGAAGAGTGTTAGGGGGCAAATTATACCTCCAGGTATCCGTTGGAGAATAAATTTTGATTCATAAATTCAGAGGAGAAGGATGCCCTCCGTCAAAGTGTGTGGTCTAAATGACCCAAAAGAGAGCACAACAGGGAAACAGTAAAAGAGACAGAAAGGAAAAAAAGGGGGGAGGGAAAGAACTTGAGGGAAAGAAACCTTGAGGAAATGTCCTAAATTTGTATTTCAGGGATGGAGATTTCACTTCAAAGTGACACTTTCCTGCAGTGAAAGAAAAATAATGCTCCTCATGTGCATAGGTGAAGAAAACACTCGTAGTTTTGTAGAAGCAACTCTTAAATTTCCTCTATGGATCAGTAATCAGGTTTTCTGCTTGCCCACAATACTGTTTTCCCAGTGTTACAAACCCCTCTGCTCTACAGGAAAGTAACTGTGTGATTTGTATAAATTTGATGACTAAAACACTCTAAGAAAGCTGTCACCACAGTTGCTTAAGTGAAATATTTACTTCTCGCAGTTTGAGGAATAACCTGCTTTTGCTTTTGATGGGAACTGCTGTGCTTAATTTGAGTTAAAGTTAGCAAATAGTTTCAGATATCAGCTGCATGCTGATCTGTGTGCTGTCACATGTGTTTTTAAACACCTCCAGGAAAAAAAAAAAAAAAAACAGCTCAAGTGTTCTGTGATTCTGAGACCCTGGGATAGAGTCAGGCACATGTAATGTGTATTCTCCAGTGGGGCTGACACTGGTGTGCTCAGTAAGCAAGTGCTGTGCTCTGTAACCATTTGAGCCAATCTTGGTGCATCAGCCTGCCACTGTTTGAATCCTATAAACATTTTCCTCTCTTTATGACTTGGCAAAATGGAGCTGAAAGCCTTATGCCATAACCTGTGAGGGATCTGGGGTTACATCAGCCCGTCCTGCTCGTGTTTGTGTGAACAGCTCGTAATAAAAAACGTGAT